CTGTTTCCTCTCTCCTGAGTGGCTAGGAAGGGGATCCCTTTGGGGGGATTCAGTGTTAGTGGGCCACAGGAAAGGCTGCCCTGGGTCTGAGGCAGTGGGAGATCCCCTGAGCTGAGAGACAGGTAGGTGTTGGGACGTAGGCTTTGATGTGGTGACCTGATGGGGAAGGAGGGGGATGACAGTGTGAGGTTTTGCCTGCAATGTACTGTCAGTGCTTGGAACCCCATCCAGAGACACACCAGGTCAAATCTTCTCTTCCTCCTCGGAGACCTCGCCACTTTTCCTCTGAGACCTGGCCGCTTTATATCCCCAGTTCCAGGCTGCCTTTGCATTTTTTTTTTTTTTTTGAGTTGGAGTCTCACTCTATCACGCAGACTGGAGTGCGGTGGCCGGTAGCCTCGACCTGCTGGGCTCTGGCGATCCTTCCGCCTCAGCCTTCCCAGTAGCCGGAATTACAGGCATGCGCTACCACGCCCGGCTGATTTTTTGATTTATTGTAGAGATGAGGTCTCGCTGCCCAGGCGGGTCTCGAACCCGCGGGCTCAGGCAATCCACTCACCTCAGCCTCCCAAAGGCGCGGGATGACAGGCTGAGCCACTGAGCCCGGCTTGCATTTTTTTTTGCCATACAGGCTCCCCTTCGGACTTATCTAAGCTGTGTGTCTTCATCCCCCGTTACCTGCCATGGCAGGGGAGCTTTGCAGAGTAGGAGAGAGGTGGTGCTTGCAGGAGGTGATGGGAAGACCGCACTGCGCGTGGGAGAGCCGCGACCCTGCTGTCCAGACAGGATGGGGAGGAATGCTGCTAACACCTGCAGCAGGCGCCCTTGGACTGGCCTTGGGCCAAGGTAGACCCACAGGTCACCCTGACTGTGAGAGTCATTTAGAGCCGATGGCATCTAAATGGCCCCTCTGAGCTCCCATTTTTCTCAGCTGCTAAGATGATGCCTTGCGGGAATGCTGTGCGCGTGGGCAGTATCTGGAAAAGCTCTCCATAACAAGATAAACCCGTGGGAGTCTTGTCTCCGCTGGGGATGCTGCCCGCCCCAGGGCCATGCTGTGAAATGCCATATTACTAACTTGTTGATGGAGTTGGGTCTCCTGAATTGGCTTCCTTTCTTCCCTCCCTCCCTTCCTCCTCAATGACTGACCTGTGTCAAGACTTCACGAATACAGTAATCACAGCAACTAAAAGTGGATGCTTGTAAATCAAAACTAAACAGATATGAGGGAGCTGGCCACATCCCCATTTCTTCATGAAGGCGTTGACCAGGCCAAGGACTGCCTTGTGAGTTCATTGTGCAATGACCTAGGAGGCAAAATCACTTCAAATATAACCTTGGGAAGAGAAAATTCCATTCTGCACAGTCAGCATGATGTAGCAATTAAGATGCTGGGTTTTCTTCCCCTTTGAGCACCATCCTTGAATGCTTTTTGGCTCCACCCACCTGAGGCTGCAGGACTGTGCTGGAGTAGAGTGATTTTCATCAAGTAGCTTCAGGCTACTCATGTGGAATCCTCCTCCAGACCTATTTGGTGCCTGAAGAAATGGTTGGTGAAAGTGAATGTGGTGGTCACTTCTCTCTCCAGGCCTCTGCTTCTGTGAAATGAGGACAGTTAGAGCGTGCCTTAGAAAGTCCCTAGCCCAGTGTCAAGGAACTTCTGTTGATAATATCTCAGTAAAAGTTACCAAGTGTTAGGTAGCTCGCTTGGGCTAGGCACTGTGCTGAGTGCGTTTGTGTCTTCATTTATTTTACTCTGTGTGATAACCTTTCACAGTAGGTGTTTCTGTGTCTATTTTACAAGAAGACTAGAGTTGGGAGAGATGAAGAAATTTATCTAAGCTTGCACGGTTAGCTCGAAGTAAATTTATAGTGTTGGCTCTCCAAATCTGTCAATCTGATTCTAAAACCTGGGCTGTCTTGTGCACGTTATCTGTCTTAGTTTTGCTGTGGAAAACTTGTTTTTCAGAAACCGTCTAAATTAGTAGTACAGGAAGGTTGGGGAGAATGGTGGTTAAAATCTGAAGAATGAGAATAGCTTTTATTAGAAATTGCTGTCTGGACACAGTGGAAGCAAAGCTTGTCTCCTATAAATCTCCCTTGTACTTTCAGGTTACCGTAAGTTACTACATGGAATTGTAAGCCATAGGTTTTTAAAAATATGTATGTGTGTACACACACACACACACACACACACACACACACATGAGTCATGTGTCACTTAGCAACAAAGAGGCATTCTAAGAAATGCCTTGATAGGCAATTTTATTATTTTTTATTTTTGATGCAAAATATTTATTCCAAGTTAGTTATTTTATGCAGCAGTTCCCACCCCAACAGACTTGTGATGGCCACATCTTTTTAATCTGTAAATGATGTTATCGAAATAATCTTAATCTTTGAAATCTCACACAAGTTTATATTTTACACTCCACCCTGAATATCAAGGCTGCAAGAATAACACAACATTTCCTATATCCAAATGTTTTACAGCTGTACCCAAAAAGGAAAAAGAAAAAACAAAAACAAGCCACATATGCTTGGTCATTAAGGGCTAAAGTTACCCAAGCAACCAAAAATAAAATATCCCAATTATTAGCATTAATTTAATACAGTCACAACTTCAGTATTTCCTTTGTCATTGACAATGATTGCTTGAGCACAGGGGAGAGTGGATAGGCAGTTTTATTGTGATGTGAATATCGTAGAGCGTACTTGCCAAAAGCTAGATGGTCTAGCCTGCTACTCACGTAGGCTGGATGAAATAGCCTGTTGCTTTTAGGCTACAGACCTGTATGGCATGTGACTACACTGCATACTGTAGGCCACTGTTACACATTGTCAGTCTTTGTATGTCTAAATATGGAAAAGATACAGTTAAAACACTGTGTCTCATTATAATTTTATGGGACTGCCACTGTCTGTGGTTTGTCATTGACTAAAACATTATTTTGAGCTGCATGACTATATTTGTATGTATATACACATATACACATATATACATACACATGTATTCATTCAAAGGACTGTATGAGTCAAAAATTGTGAGGTTCTGTTCCACTGGTGAAATTTTCTACACCAGCCCCTTCAGATTTATTTGCTAATAAATTTAAAGTTACCACGTAGGGAATACTTAATAAAAATTGCTCTCTTTGCTGGACAGAATTTTTTAGGCCCCAAATAGTGAAAACATGTTTACAAAATCACCTCAACTTATAAGAAAATGAAAGTCAGAAAACCATAACCAAGCCCTGATGTTAAAAGTTTTGTGAGCCAATTGGGCACAGTAGCTCACTCCTGTAATCCCAGCACTTTGGGAGGCCGAGGCAGGAAGATCGCTGGAGGCCAGGAGTTCAAGACCAGCCTGGGTAGCATAGCAAGACCTTGTCTCTACAAAAAAAATTTAAAAATTAGCTATGCTGGGTGGGATGCACCTGTAGTCCCAGCTCCTTGGGAGGCTGAGGTGGAAGGATTGCCTGATCCTAGGAGGTCGAGGCTGTGGTGAGCCAGGAGTGTGTTACTGCACTCCAGCCTGGGTGACAGAGTAAGACCCTAACTCAAAAAAAAAAAAAATTCCATGGGTCCAATCTCCTCTCTTCCCTTCCTGTGTCCTTTTCTCTCTGGATCGGTATTTCATGGATGTGCCAGATCTGAAGAACTTGCATCTGCCTGTGTGCAGAAAAAGCAGGCTGCCGCGGGCTTCTTGGAGCAGGTGTGCAGCAGCAGGGCAGCGCCCATGTGTGACAGGGCGGGAAGCAGCAGATTGGGCCGTGCGCCTCTACCTGGGGGTAGAGGGTTGGAATGCCTTCTTTTTATGAGAGAGTATATATATATGGACCACCCCCAAACAGAATTATCTTTTGGAGAGCAGGTCCCTTACAGTACACTTAGAATCTGTTCCCCTGGGTCAAACGGTCAACCAAAGTCTTTATCTGGGCGTCTTGAGGAGGCTACATCTCGATTTGTGGAAGAAATGCCCCGAAGGTGCATTTGTGGCAGGAAGGCGCCTGGTTCTTCCACCTTGACAATGCACCTGCTCACCCTGCGCTGAGTGTTCAGCAGTTTTTGGCTGGAAATGGCGTGACCTCTGTGTCCCGCCCTTTCTGGTCACCCGATCTTGCTGTGAGCAACCTTTTTTGGTTTCCCCGATGAAAAAAGTCCCCAGAGAGAAACATGTTGCTGAAGTGGAAGAGGCGAAACAAAAAATCACAGAGGCGCTAAGAAGCATCAAACTGGATGAGTTCAAAGACTGTTTTGAGCAGTGGAACAGTATCTTGATGAGTGTGTCTCATCAAATGGAGAGTACTTTGAAGGTGACTGAAGTTTAAGCTTGTAAGAATGAATATGCAATTTTGATAAGTTCTGGGGTTTTTTGGGTCCCCTTTTGTATGTATTATATATAATGAATATTACATATTATGAATCTATGAATATATTCATATATTTGTTATGCATTTGGTTTTTATATATATCTATACTTTAAATATATATGTATATTTAATGTATATATGGTTTCTTCTCCTCTGACTAGAGAAGTACCTTAGATTGGCACATAATTCTTCGAAGTTATGTGTACTTTGATTTTTGAAATGTATTTGTGGGTGGATATATTTACATATTTCTAAATATATGCATTTGTGTGTGTGTGTGTGTTTCTACTGACATCTTTGCTTGTGCCCTGAGTGTGTGAAGCTCCCCAGACAACTGTGTGGCCCTGGCTGTCTAGAGCAGGGAGCCCTGAGCCTGAGACCCGTCCCTCTGGTCTGGTGTGAAGATGCAACTTGCCCTCGGGGGTCAGGGCCCTTTGGCCCTCGGTGTTGGCACGGAGAGTGCCTCCATGCTTGGAGCGGGCAGAGAGCTGGCTGGCTGTTTTGAAGCACAGGGGCATTCGGAAGCCAGTGGGACCCGGGAATACCCAGTGGAGGGAGGGCAGCTGTGGGGACACCTGGAGGGTGGGGTGCCCGTTGTCACCAGCGCCCCACCTGTCTCTGGTTTCAGGTCCCACCCGCAAGATGCCCCCCAGCGCCAGTGCCGTGGACTTCTTCCAGCTCTTTGTCCCGGACAACGTCCTCAAGAACATGGTGGTGCAGACAAACATGTACGCCAAGAAGTTCCAGGAGCGGTTTGGGAGCGACGGGGCCTGGGTGGAGGTGACGCTGGCGGAGATGAAGGCGTTCCTGGGCTACATGATCTCCACCAGCATCTCGCACTGCGAGTCCGTCCTCAGCATCTGGAGCGGCGGCTTCTACAGCAACCGCAGCCTCGCCCTGGTCATGAGCCAGGCCCGCTTCGAGAAGATACTCAAGTACTTCCACGTGGTGGCCTTCCGCTCCAGCCAGACCACGCAGGGGCTCTACAAGGTCCAGCCCTTCCTGGACTCCCTGCAGGGCAGCTTCGACTCTGCTTTCAGGCCCTCCCAAACCCAGGTGAGGCCCGGTGGTGGGCAAGAGCCTGGCAAGAGGCCCGCAGGCTTCCTCGGCCGCGCCTTGGCTGGTGGCGAGGCTTGGGGGCATCCTTCCCGCCTTCCCGACCTCGGAGCTCACTGCAGACCCTCTCTGCTGCTCCTCCATTCTGCTAGCCAGATAATCCAGGTTCCACGGGGGAGGGCGATCGTCGGGGAGTGGCTGCAGCCCACAGGCACATGGGAATCTCCTCTTTTATTTAGTCTTAGATGCGGTTTCCCTCCTCTCTTCTCCCCATCTCTCCTCTCCTTTCCTGACACTTCCTTCCCAAGTTATGTTTTGCTCAGGTTAATGTTCACTTTTTTGTTGCACTCTCCGAGTAGGACCTCGCCTGTTGATAGCAAAAGGGGGCTGGAATTCTCCCAGGTGGCCGAGAGGTGAGCCTGGACTTTAAACCATTCTTCAGATGATGGAGGGTGACTGCTGTGCCCTGACCACACAGGCAGAGCCAGGGCCTGAGGGCGAGGGTTTGGCGGAGCCCCTGATATCACTGTGATGATTCCCTGATGCCTTCTCCCACTTCCGTAGCCTTCCAGGAGAAGACCCTGTCTGCCCTCAGCTCCTGCACCCCTCTCTGCCTGTACTTACAGCAAGTGCACCTGGCCCAAGACAGAATTCCAGTCATCTTCCTCAAAATTATTCTGGGGGTCTAGGCCCATCGAAGAGGTAGCTAATTTCTAGAGATGTTCTTAACCAAATCGAGGAAGTTTTGGGCCCCTGTGAGTCCAGTTCCCTTTGACTTGGTCTCTGTGTGAAGAGAAGTTTAGTTTGCTTTCATTTATATAAAGTTTAAAAATCCGTCATCTCTCTGTTCATCGCCTACTTTTCCCAAGGGTCTTCTAAAGAAGCCTCTAGTTCTTCTTGAGGTTCTTCTAGATGCTATCTTTAGTTCTCCATGGCGTACTTTCTTCCCCAAGCAGCCGGAAATTGCAGGGTTTTGTGGGGAAGACATTGCCCTCTTTCAGGTGTTTCAGGCCTGGGGGAGCCTTTAAACCATCTCTGAATAGTTCTCCCTGCCATTTCTTGAGCACGCCAAACTCATGATGATTTCCAGGTGTTGGCCACATGCTTTCTGGTCCTGGAAAGCTTTTCCTCCCTTCTCTGCTTTGCAAATGCATCCAGTCCCCAGGGCCTGCGTAAGGCCCGTGTTCCCCTGTGGATGCCCTGCTTGCTGAATTCCCCCATTATTTTCAGGGCAGTCAACCGTCACTGTTTTTCATTTACTAGTGTCACTTAGCTTACTACAAAAGGTACAGACTTTTGGGGACACACGCCCTGCCTTATAACAGGCCTTGCCTGGATATATTATTCTTTCACCGAATACTTGCTTGGTTGAAAATGAACCAAAACAGAGACATGATGTGTGGGTGCAAGCAGAAAGAAACACATTCTGGCCGTTCTTGGGGCCATACATTTAAAGAGCTGTTGCAGAAGCCTCAGGGCTCACTGTGCCTCCGTATCTCTCAAGAATCAGGTTGGGCATGGTGGCTCATGTCTGTAATCCCAGCACTTTGGGAGACCGAGGCAGGAGGATTGCTTGAGCCCAGAAGTTCGAGACCAGCCTGGGCAACATAGTGAGACCTCATCTCTACAAAAAATTAAAAAATTTGCTGAGTATGGTGGCACACACCTGTAGTCCCAGCTGTTAGGGAGCCTGAGGTGGGAGGTTCGCCTGAGCTCAGGAGGTTGAGGCTGTGGTGAGCTGTGATCATGCCACCGCACTCCAGCCTGGGTGACAGAGTGAGACCCCGACTCAAAACTCAGAACAAACACCCAGCATTTTGGATGGTTGATATTCAGCACTCACAAAACAGGGCTGCTGAACATCCTTCCAGCTCCAAGACTAGGCAAGCCTTGTCTGTGGTGATACTCACATTGGTTGAGTGCCAACGGTATACCCACCCCGAGCCTTCTGTGCATCCTGGAACTGCAGAGTTTGGTGTCTGTGATGCAGATCCAGGGTGATTGCCATGCCTCTGTGGCACTCCGCAGCATCCACTAGGAGTTCTGAGTTTTGCAGACTCTCCCCTTATAGTCCCTGGGCACGGGTGTGCTGAGAGGAGGCTCCGCAGTGCTCCTGAACCACGCTGGTGGGCAGTGGCTGGATGCAGCTCTGCGGGTAGGCAGGTGTGCGAGGAGTCTGCCCCGTCTTTGGTTCTGTGGCTTGGATGGGCGATGCTGGGGGCGGTGCCAGGACCAGGGGAACTTAGAGAGATGAGCATTGTATTCTGCGACTCGGCCTTTTGTTTGCTTCCAGGGGATGAGGCCAAGATGAGGCTCGGTGGGGAAGAGCCCGCAGGCACTGCTGGGTTGTATTTTCCCTTGTCCTCCCTTCTTCTTCAGACTTGGTATTTCACTTTTATTTTACCTGTGCGTTTGCAAAGTTAGGTTTTCTACTCGGTACCCTTCCCTGTTGGTTAGATTCCAGCAGGAAACAAACGCATGCTCCGTTTAGAAGGGCAGTTAAAGAGAATTTAGCACAGGGGCTGTGGCCAGGGGTGTGGCCCAGGTTAAGGGCAACCAGGAGGGTGGTGGGGCACCTGGGGGTGGTGGAGCACCTGGACAGCAGCCGTGGGAAACCTGCGCCCCTCCTGGGCCAGGGGAGGAAGGGAAGGAGCTGCCCGGGAGCCGAGGAGGCTCTACCCCGGGGTGAGACTCTGGACAGGAAGGGGGGCGTCATGGGTCCCCTCCCCTGGCTTTCCTGCCCTCCGGCACCTCCCTGCCTCCCACTTGGCCACACAAGCAGGAAGCTAGGGGAAGAGAAGCTGGTGGAGTCCCAGAGGCCGTGGCATCAGCGCTGTGTCAGGAGGTGGGACCAGAATAACCCAAAAGAGGTGATGTCCTGACTACAGGGTATGGTATGTCTAGTATGTCCTTCACGGGTCCTGGGACCCAGGCAGGTCCACCACCCCCCCCCCCCAGAAGCTTGCCAGTCTGGAGGAACTGGGCTGGCCTTATAGGTGGGCTGGGCCACGCCTTCCCATGGCCTGGAGGGATGTTATCTCCGGGCTGCCAAAGTCATCTGGGTGCCTGGTTCCTGCCCTTATGATCTTAATAGGAGGACACATCTGCCTCTAGGAGAAGGAAGAGGTTCTGGTTCTGGTCTCTGGTCTGAGAAGAGCTCCAGGGGTTTCCTGGTGGGCCTCAGCATTCCCTGGTGGGAATCCTCTCTGCTGTGAGCGCTCACTTGAGGAGAGGCAGGGACTTGGCTGTGGGTTGCCACTGGATGCCCACAGCTGCAGGGTTTCCATGGAGAGTCTTCGTTTCTGCTTGTTGACCCCAGTTGGAACAGATCTCTTCGCATCTCCCTGGCCGAGGTGTGTGGGCGAATTTGCTCCAGATTCCCAGGACCGCTCTGCACACCCCCCCCGCCGGACTCCACCCCGAACATACAACCTGCCCTCCTCTGGGCTCAGCCCACACGCACCCCCGGTCCTGCACTTATGAGCTCCATCCAGCAAACGAGACCTTTGCTCTGTTAGCTTTGCAGAGTCCTCAGAGGACTCCCAGGGCCAAACAGTACCCAAAGCCATGGTGAGGTGTGTGTGTGTGTGTGTGTTTCTACACAGATACAAAATGGGGAGACACTGTGTTTCCCCAGATCTGGAGTCAGATGAATTAGGTGCGTATTTTCAGGGAGGGATTATGCAAATAAGTGGATGTTTTTGTCTTTTCCCTCCTGGACCCACCACCTGGCATACCCCAAGGTGAACTCCTTAGCCACAGACGGGGACTCAGGAGATGCAGCTGTGGAACAGGAAGATGCCCAGCAACCTGGAGGGGAAGAACGTGGCTTCCAGGCAGTTGTCATTTTTTGGAGCCCTAGGGTCCTGCTCTGTGTGCTGTATGAGGACCCATTCATAATTCACTTCATGATGACAGAAAAGGAGAACTTCACTGAGGGCCAGGTGTTCTTGCTGGCCCTTTTGCAGCTGATGAATGTTCCTTGCAGTGGAGCAGAGCTGCGCTTTCTCTCTGAAGAGGGGAGCAAGGGTGGGTCTGGGTGACTGTGACCTCAAGAGGAAGAGGGGCACATCTTCGGTAGACCTTCCTTGTGCCGCCTCTCCCATCCCCATCGGCCCTCAACCCTGCTGCATGTGGGACTTACGCGTCTCACCCGAGTAGTTCCAGTGGGGCTGTGAACATGTCACGAGCCACAAAGACCAGCAAGGGCGGGAAGCCAGACATGAGGGCTATGGAGATGCTGGTGCTGTGGGAGTGCCGCCGCCAGGCCAGCCCCCTAACTCTCCTTTCCTGAGCACAGGGCAGAGAGACCAGGCATCCTGTCCCCATGTCTCCCACAGTGAAAACGCCAGGGGAGTGAGTATGCACAGCTGAGGCTGAGCAACACGGGCTTTGACTCTTTAAAAAAGGACTTCAGGGCTGGGCCTGGCGGCTCACATCTGTAATCCCAGCTCTTTGGGAGGCTGAGATGACAGGATTGCCTGAGCCTGCAGGTTCAAGGCCAGCCTGGGCAACTTGGTGAGACCTTATCTCTACAATAAATAAAAAAATTAGCCGAGCATGGTGGCGTGTGTCTGTGGTTCCGGCTACTTGGAACGCTGAGGTGGAAGGATTGACTGAGACCAGCCGGTCTAGGCTGCGGTGACTGGGAATGTGTCACTACCCTCCAGCCTGGGTGACAGAGTGAGATTCCTACTCAAAAAAAAAGTACCTCAAGGTAGCATTAATAGAAAAGTGGAAACATGCCGTCCACATCACAGGGGGTACATATCATCTTCCATTCTGTCTTTGGAAGACTGTGTGCTGATACCACCTGGAAACCTGTTGGGAAGGCGGTCTCAGCCTGCCCTAAACCTGCTAAATCAGAGTCCATATTTGAGCAAGATCCCTAGGTGCTTGCAGTAAGTCTCCTACATACAAACAAGTTCCATTCCGAGAGTGCCTTCATAAGTCCAATTTGTTCGTAAGTCCAACAAAGTTAGCCTAGGTACCTGACTGACACAGTCTGCTACATAGTACTCTACTGTCATGGGTTTATAATACTTTTCACATAAATAATACATAAAAAACAAATATACATTCGTGTACAGTTAAGTACACAAAAGTGAAACCACTTATAAAGGATGCACGCACATGACAGTGTTCACCAGTCACATGAACTAACATACATGATAGAACATGCGAATACATGTTTCACATCTTTGAAAGTTCATAACTTGAAGGTTTGAAAGTTCATAACTTGAAAGTTTTAACTGTAGTTTGTTAAAACTTTTTTTGCAAATAGCCAGATGGTAATTTAGACTTGGTGGGTTGGATAGACTCTGTTGTCTTGTCAGTTCTGCTGTTGTAGCCCCAAAGCAGCCATAGACGATATGTAAATGGATGAACATGGTGGTGTTCCAATAAAACTTTATTTACAAAGCAGGTGGTGGGCCAAACAAGGCTGTAGTTTGCCAGCCCCTGATCTAGAGCATCACATAGAGTCCTTGGAACTGTATTACTGCCTATACTCACTCTATTTACTATAGATACTCACTCTAATCCATAATAAGCTTGAGGTAGGATTAGGGAGGGAAGTGTAGCACATTCCTAAAATTTACCCCGTAGTCTTCCAAGAACGCGTTAGCTTGAAGAAATGAATCTTTGACCACCCCTTGGAACCTTTCTTTATTAGTCCTGTCATTGAAAAAGTCATGTCACGATGCTATCAAGAGGTTGAAATAAAACGAATTCAGTGTAAATATTGCCTTGGGGACCTGTTCAGAAAGGACATGACAACCTCCAGGAGAGCCAGAGGCTGCATGTTGCAATGAGGCAGCAGGAAACTGGGTCAGCTGATGAACAGTTTTTAAAAAGAAAGTGTTCAGCCTGGAGAAAGGAGGTTGTGAACCAACATGAGCACTGTCTTGAAAATCTAAAACAATAGTAATTTTCTTTCTTTGTTTCTCATGGGGCAGAAGTCAGATCAGTGGGCTTAAGTTAGGTAAATTTTGAGTCAGTGAGGGAAATAACCTTTTAGCCGATGGAGCTGTCCATCCGGGGAAGAAGCTTCCTTGAAGAGAAGTGGGTGCTTACCACCAGGCGTGTCCAGCCTGAGGTCAAACAACCCCTGCCAAAGATCCCTCTACCACGTGAGAATTGGACAGGGCACCTTAGGCAATAATAATAACAGCAAAGATTTCCACTGACAGAATATCCACCATATGTCAGGGCCTGAGCTAAGTAATTTGCTTACAGTTTCTTACTGAATCCTTCCTAGAGCACTAGTATAGACACTGCTATTACCCTTAATAGATAAGGAGAGTCAGGATCAGAGAGGTAAAGTAGCATAGTCACAGTCACACAGCTTCTCAAAGGCAGAGACTGGACTTGCTCCAATCTGATGCGCCTGCGAGCTCACGCTGCCTTCCATGAGAGCCTCTGCTGTTTCCCTCCTGGTAGGTGCTACATGAACCCCTGATCGATGAGGACCCCGTGTTTATCGCCACTTGCACGGAACGGGAGCTGCGGAAGAGGAAAAAGCGGAAATTCAGCCTCTGGGTCAGACAGTGTTCTTCCACGGGCTTCATCATCCAGGTGAGCCTGGGCCAGCAAGGGCCAGGAAAGACCGGGGGAGCCTCATCTGGGAACCAAGAGCTTGCTCACTTATTGTCTTCCCTGTGTGCCAGATTCCCGCAGGTGCTCCAGGTGAGGTCGGGCTGGGGTGCTCCCTCCCCTCTGGGGCTGCAGGGTCAGTCCTTGCCATGCCTGGCTCTGCCCTCTGCACGTCCTTCCTCTCAACTCCAGTGCATCTGGGTAAATGACTCATCAAAACTCGGGCCCTAGCGGTATTGGCCAGAGGCATCACCCAAACGGTGGGTCACAAGATCCGTAAGAGGTGACTGCCATCTCCCTGGAGGCAGTCCCTCAAGACTTGTGGACTTGTGGCTTTGAGACCCTCCCCACTCCCTCCAGGTGTCTTCGGCACCTTTCAGGCTCCAGGATTCCTTCTTCGCAGGCCATCCCCCACCCGCTGGTGAAATTAGCCTGAGTCACCAGCCCCATGAGCTGGCCTGGCCGACATGGGCACGTGTCTTAGAAGAAGGGACTGAGCTCTCCCCCAGGAAAAGCTTCACATGTTGAGCTGCCGGGAACGGTGGGGTGCACACAGGTGGGGGCAGGTGAAAACCACAGTGTGGCACCGAGGCAATGTCTGTCTGTGTAGGCTGGCTTCTCGTATCTGCTGCTCTGTGGCGCCTTCCCTCCTGGGACAGGCAGGCAGACCCTGTGGTGACAGCTGACCCCATACTCACTTCCTCGGCTTGATTGTAGCCCCGGGGCCCGAGGCACAGGGTTTCTGCGCGTCCTCGTTTTCCTGGGCTAGAGAGAGGTTTGCAGGAAGATTCAGCTGGGCATCTCACCTCTTCTGCTCCAGAGCCATGGCGGGGAGTGGGGAGTGTGCACAGGAAAGCGTCTTCCCTCGGAAGCATGGTCCCAGCCTCCTTCTGCAGGCCCCGGGGGACTGTCAGGCTGCATGGGGGCCAGGGTCTCCAGCTGGACCCCTGGGGCTCTGCATTTGCACAGGCTTTGGAGAGTTGTTGAAAAGACTTATCCCTGGGCGAGATTTGCTCACTTCTGGGTCCCTGTCCTCTGCATTCTCCAGTGGCTTCTGTCACTTCTGTGATGTCCTCTTCAGGGATGTCCTCCAGGGAGTACAGGTGTGTGAGGTTCATTTTCTATAAGCCCTCCCAGGGATGTTCATTCATTCTTTCAGCAAATATCACTGAGTCCCTGCTATCTGCTAGCGCTGTACCCGGCAGTGAGAGATGCAAACATGGCCCTGACATCTAGAGATCACCTGTGTGACTTCTGAGCACATGTTTGCAGATGGGTTCTATGTGCATCTGGTACGATTTCCTTTTCCCTCTAAAGCTGATGAGTAGTAGCTAGGAATCATGCCCATTACCTGGCAAGGAAACACTCCTCTCTCTCAATGTAGGTTCTTTCCTATATATAAAATATAAGAAGTTTGAATCGGTACCTTGCGGTTTCTCTTTATGTCTGAAACTCTGATTCTAGGAGGCTTTGCAGCAGCATAAGGGCTTGTTTTGAGGGGGTCCCATGGAAGCTGGCAGGTCCCAGTCAAAGGCAGCCTCACTCCCGCCTTGCCAGGAGCAGCTCAGATGCACTGTGGGAAGAGAGTCGTTAGCCTTGGGTCACAGGTCTTCCCACGACAGGGCTGAGGCGAGAGCTCCCCAGTCTATCTCTGTTCCTAGGTCCAGTGGCAGGTGCCCAGGGCAGACACAAAGCAGAAGGGGACATCTGCATGGAGCCAGGTGACCCTGGACTGGAGATGATTGCCTATCTAGTGTCTTGTCTCTTGTCTTAGTTCTCCAGGTGCCGATCCTGGCTTAGTGGCTTTTGAAAGCCAGCAGCCTGGGCAGGTGCAGCTGGGGGGCAGACATACCTTACACCGTAAGAGCTTTCACACCTGCAGTTCCCAAGTCTCCCCTCAGCCTGGTGAGAGTGGAGAGTGGGCCATGGCTATGCCCATCGCTCGCGAGAGGCAGCTCAGGTGCCAGTCAGCTGGTCAGCACAGAGCCAGCCTTGGTGCCACCCCTCCTGGGGCCCCGAGCTGCCCCTGCCCTCCTTGGACCCCAAGGACATCAGCAGTCCCCGCTCTTGCCACCACCCTCCTGTGTGGACTCAGCCATTCCAGTTATTGCTCGGGACTTTGGTGTCCTTATCTGGAAACTGAAGGGGTGGGATCAGGTAACCGGTGAGTTCCCTTCTCGTGCAAGAGCCTGTGACTCTCTTCTTGGCGATGTTAGATAGTGGAGTGGTACACACAAGAACGTTTTCTGAATTGTGGTTTCTCACAAAATGGCTTTCACTGGAGAAGCCCAGTGGCCGGCAGCCTGTGCCAAGGGCCCTTTCTCCTGCTGTGCTGCCCACGGGTGGCACTGTCTGCCCTCCCTGTTCCATTTCTGAGGCTGGCCCGTGGGACATGGACAGCCGTGGCCCATGAGGAGGTGAGGGGGACAGGCGTGTGGTTCTCCTCTGGCTTATCTGCCTGGCCATGAGAAAGTGCTCAGGCTCAATCACCTGAGTTTTGAAAACCCAGGAGCCTGGTGAGAGTTTATCATATGCCATGTGGGTTTTGTGATGGTTTGACAATGTACCGTAATTGACCAAGGGCCTCCCAGTTGGGGCCTGCACAACCAACCAGATGACTTTCAGCAGTTACCCTGTGTCGAGAACAGAGACGCTCTCCTGAAGGGCCAGTGGATACACGGGGGTGTTTCAGGAGGGACCAGGGCTTGCATCAGTGTCGTAGTTGCATCCTGCCAAGACCCCAAGCTCTTGACCGGCCCCACTGCGTTCTCGTGAGGCAGAGCTGGGGGGAGGATAAGCTCTACCTGGAAGATTCTAGATCAAGGGGTGAGAAAAGAAAACTCCAGATCGGCAGTGATCCCAGAAGGGGTCATTGGGAAAGTTCAACAGGAGCTCAGAGTAGCCGGCTTGTCCCTCGGCATCTTGGAAGTGGTGAGTTCATCCCTGCATGGGCATCTGGGCAAGAAGGGGGCAGCCTAACAGAGGGACAGAGACCGCAGGAAGGGTAATGGTGTTGAGAAGAGCCCCCTTATAGTGCCATGTCCTTATAGGTTCGGGGCTCGCAAATGCATTTGAAGGGAAATCTTAGGGTGAGATGGAAGTGGATAAAGTGACTTCACTGAAAGAACATAGGGAGGTGTGTGGAGGGACAGAGTGGGAGGAAGCATGTAAATTAACTATCATTCTAAAGATTAAGGGGTTAATACCCATCACTTTTGAGAATGCAAGAGTAAAAAAGTTTCAAGGAGAAGGGAATAAGCAGAAGGAAAGCAGACATGGCTTGGGAGCTGCAGAGCGCGACAGACCATCCAGAAGTGCCATCTCATTCTGTCAAGTGGTCCTGTCTTAACTGACCTCACATCTCTCTTCCAGGTTTTCTTCCAGCAGTCAACCAATCTCTCTCTCTCTTCTTTTTTATTTTTTTATCTGAGTTGGGGTCTTACTCTTGTCCAGACGGGATGTACAGTGGCACAATCACAGTGTCCTGCAGCCTCTAACTCCTGGGTTCAAGTAATCCTCCTGCGTTAACCTCCTGAGTAGCTGGGACTACAGGTGTGTGCCACCATGCCTGGCTAATGCTTTGATGTTTTTTGTAGAGATGGGGTCTAGCTGTGTTGTGCAGGCTGGTCTCCAACTCCTCGGCTCAGGCGATCCACTCACCTCGGCCTCCCTAAATGCTGAGATTAACAGGCATGAGCTGCCATACCCAGACCAGCAATCTCTCTCTTTCTCTTTTTTTTTTTTTGAGTCGGAGTCTCACTCCGTCGCCCAGGCTGGAGTACAGTGGCACACTCATGGCCACCCCAGCGTCGACCTGCTGGACTCTGGCAATCCTTTCCCCTCAGTCAGCAATCTCTTAAAAGGGGCCCTGGTTCAGAGTGGCAGGCCTCATCTCCTGTGTGGCATTGTTGGGCTATCCTGCAGAACTGTTTACCTTAAAAGTCTGTGGATCCTAAATGTTTATCTTGGTGCTTCAACTGCACCAAGCACTCGAAAACGAATTGATGTGTAAAGATGCTCGCCTGCGTGCTTGAGGCCTCTGGAAACAGCAGTGAACTGTTCACATTGTTCTCTGAAGTGAGGACCCCATCGAGGGCTGGGGCCTTGGGTCTTTGGTACTCTGACCAACTTCACTATGAGGAATAGAGGAATACCATGTGTATTATGCCCTGTGGAAATGAAAGGTCCTATCCTCAAGGAACATAGCTTTTGGTCCTGTCCTCAAGGAACATAGCCTTTGCCTCTTTGGTGGTAAAATACACATGACATGCAGTTTTCTGTTTTGTTTTGTTTTTTTTGAGTTGGAGTCTCACTCCGTCACCCAGGCTGGAGTGCGGTGGCGACCCCAGCATCAATTTGCTGGGCTCCAGCGATCCTTCCGCCTCAGTCTTCCAAGCAGCCAGAACTACAGGCATGCGCTACCACACCTGGCTAATTTTTTGATATATCGTAGAGACGAGGTCTCACCACGTTGCCTAGGCTGGTCGCGAACCCACGGGCTCAGGCAATCCACTCGCCTCGGTCTCCCAAAGTGCTGGGATTGCAGGCTGAGCCACCGAGCCTGGCCCAGTTTTCTGTTTTCACACTGGTGAGCGTACAGTTCAACGACTTAAAGTACATTCACCCTGTTGTGTGGCCACCATTACCACCCAGCTCTAGAACTTTTTCATCTTCCCAGCAGACAGGGTTAGATCTCTTAACTGAGGATAAAACTTTAACACCTAGAAAAGATTAATTTCCCGTGAGCAAAAGCACTTTCTGTAAATGCAGTCGGTGCCATGGGAGTTCAGAGGAGGGGCTGCCCCGGGCCTTGGTCGAGTTTAATGCGCTACGCTGCGTCTGGCCTGAAGAGCGTCTCGCTTCCCAGGTCAGGTGGGCCACGGTCTCCAGCCACTCCCACTGCTGTCCCCGAGGGGCTCCCAGGTAGGGCAGACAAGTGACTGGGACAGCATACTGCTTCCCGGCCCATGACGCCATCACCG